GTTTCACGCGGCGATGCCATTGGTTTGATGTAACAAGGCTCTCTTTTGTACGTTGACGAGACTGCTCAAAAATTCCACGTTGAAAATTAATTTATCCAGGACAAAACTCATTTTAACACTAATTCCTCTACTTAATTAAGGAGATTTGCCAAGAAGAGATTAACGAATAAATGTTAGAAAATAAAATAATACAGAATCGTAAGCGCCGATGATAAATAAATAGAATATCGATAAACTTGGTAACAAAAGAATTATACATATACAATTAGATAGATTAAAAGTTTTAAGAAATTTGTTCTAAAATTTTAGAGCGAATCAGAAAATTTTTCAACATTATGTACTGTATATCCTTTCTTCTGCGAAAAATTGTGGACAATAACCTGTAGTGATCGTAGATCTTTTCTCTTGCGCTTCCAACTTGTCATCCTTCCGTTTACCGAACAGTCCGTTCCTGAAAGCAAACGAATTCAAGCTTATGTAATGAAAGAAGCAAATTAACATTGCATTAGATACTTGCGACGCGTCTCTCCCGCTTTATATTCAAGCGCGTTAAGAGATCTGTGTCACATTTCTGCACCGTGCAACGCGATCAGACTCCGCACGGTACGCTCTTAACCCACATACACTGGAATTAATATTCTCGATCAAGAATTCTTCTAACTACGGCGACGATTATCTTATCTAATTGAGACGAGACGAGGGGAGAGCTTAACGATGTACTCGATTATTACATATTCCATGTGAACTCTCTCTGTCTAAGTAACAGCAACGAAATACGTTTAAAGAGCGCAAGTATTTTCTTCTTCTTTGTTTTTTTTTTTTTTAATTATAATCACCTCTTCTCGATTGATAAATAAAAATTCCTACTTAGCATGATCGACAGTGTCAATCAGCATGTACGTATACATATAGCGAATAAATATCCAAGTTAAACGTGTTGTCACACGTATAATGAGCGCTTGATTGACGTCAGAAATATCGTTTTCCTATTTTATCCAACGACGAGAATATCAAGCGAAACGGTGTTGTAAGAAGGTGAGCAGACGATGAGCGACAAAGTTAAGTGCTGTTGCTACCTCTTCAGCTTTTCACCTCGTCTATATACACGACTCTGTTGTATAGGCGAGAACGTCACGTCGTTTGCCGATTTCAACACGCAGATATTCAATGCACACCGCGCTATTAACGCAACCTCAATCTTTGCTGCTCGTAAATGGGACTTAGGCATCCTCTGCTAGGCAAATATTTTCTCACCAGTCTGAAAAATTACCCTTACGTCATACAAACGGGACTATGTTTCACATGAATTATATTTTCAGACAATATTTCATTTTGATAAGATTCTTTTTTTTCTTTTTTTTTTTTTTTTTTTTTTTTTTTTGGTATAGAGAAAAGTTTGTGTGTTTTGAACAATCTTGGGTTCATTGTTTAAAATGAGGAAAGTGTGACAATTTAGTTATCTTTCATTCTTTGTACTATCTTGCAATGAACTTTGGTAGGACGATTGAAGTGAGAAAATAAGTGAAGAAGGTAATGTGTATACCGTTTTGAAAGAATATTTATCCTTCAGTGATGCAAGCAGCACACTGGGTGGAACAACCAGACACACAAACACGCTCTTCTTACTCCACGCTTCATTTCTTCGCGAAGATAAACTTGAAGACTGATTCATGGTCAGGGAAACGCTTCAGCAGCCTCGGTGTGACGGATTATGAAGACGACGGATAAGATTTCCTTTCAGTTCCTTCTTTCCCTCTATATACCAAGTGAGCAATTCCTACTATTCTTGTGTAGATAAATTTCATTTGCATAAACTGGCACCTGGTTTCACTTGGGAATATCATTTTGTTTATTTATATCTGTGATGAATGGAGTAGCCTATGAAAAATCAAGCATTCATTCAGAATACCTGTGCAGAGAAGAATGACCATGAGCAAAATACTTCCTTCTCTCTTTTAAATAAAAGATATGTGGAATTTGTGAAAACCTTCTGAGAATTTGTAAGCTTGAAATTTAAGAAACAATAAACAGGCACCTGGTTTCACTTGGGAATATCATTTTGTTTATTTATATCTATGATGAATAAAGTAGCTTAGGAAATATCAAGCATTCATTCAGAATTACTTCTGCAGAGAAATAATCTTCTCTTTCCTTCTCTCTTTTAAATACAAAAAGAAAGGAACGTAGAATATTTAGAGTCTATGAAAACCTTCTGAGAATTCGTAATCCTCGAATTTAGCAAACAATGTATTTAAACACCGAACGCTTAGCTAATAAGATAATTTCGTTCGAACAGGACCATCCACCGATTATGCCAGACAATTAAATTAC